TTTAAAACGCTTATACCATTTGTAAGTTTGTGTCTGGCCTAAACTGTTTTCACCAAAAGCTTGCTTCAACATTTGGTGCGTTTCTGCAGTGGCTTTCCCAAGTTTGATACAAAACTTTATACAGACACGCTGCTCTCTCAGGTCAGCCATCGCAAAACCGCAAACTCACGGAAACACAACAATGGAAATACGTTGACCAACAATAAACCCAATCACTCGACTCGACGCCGCTTGCCACACTGATTCAAGAAGGATGTGTGAGGAGACACCTAGCGGTATTTCGATGTACTCATAACCATTTGCGCGCAAAATTCGAATTTCGTTTTGGATTGCCCCTATCTTCATGGTATGCATCCTATTGTGGCTTATACAGTAGTGTTAATAGGACCTCGTACACAATAATACCAACAAACAAAATAGATACTAACATATCAGCATTCATTTATTAGGCAAAGATGTTTGCTTCGTGTTTCGACCCATACAAGATCATTGAGCTAATCTATACAAATTCGATCTTAGTTCTTGAATTGTTTCTTAATATGGGTCCATATTATTTATTACAATATTTTACAATTTTATAGTGAATACAACCATTTTAATAAAATATCTTACCAATACTCACAAATATAATCTTAACGAATATCCGGTTTTAGCCTTAAGAACACAATTTGAGATTAATTATTCAAATTATTATTCATTACTAATTGGTTTTAGATAAGCGCAAAAACTACAGAGTCTCTTTTAGTAACTTGACATGTTCACGGTGAGCGGTGCGCTACCTTTCGCCAGGTTCGTACGAATTTTGCCGATGAATCAGACGATAATATTTGGAATGAAGGGAAGTAATTAACATGTAGAACACTTGAGGGCATTATGCTTCACGGCTAGCAGTGCAATGCACAATTTACTGTGTTAACTTCGAACGACAAAGCTGTTAATAGACACAAAACAGAAACATAAGCATCGAGTGCTTACTGAAAAGTTGGATGATTAGGGGCCAGACTTGAACATACACCTAGAGAATCACTGAAACGTCTGCTAGCTCAAGAGACTGGAGTGTCAAAGTCTAGTGCAAAAATGGATACACAGTTGCTGAAGCCATCCAGTGAAAGTTTATATTTTGTGTGCTATAAGCGTAAGAGGGATTGTTGTACCTATGTTTTTTAACGGAACAGTTAATTGCAAAAAATATCTACATATAGGGAGGACAGCATTTGGAACACCTCACTGCATGAAAGCAGAGCTTAGTGCAAGGTACATATGTTGCATGCACACACAACTAAAAGTTCTGAATGAAGATTATTTGACATTACTTGTCAGATATAAACAGCTTTTGTTAAAATCCTGATATGCACTAAAAAGAAACTGAATTGCAGACTTGTCATCAGATTGTTTGATGTTGCCTGCTTTCCTTAAGAAGACTACAGGCTTATGTGATTGCCATGCTGTGTCATTTGTTTCAGTATTTTGACCAGTTTTCGTAGATATTGGTACAAGTGTTACATAATTTGAAGCCACCTGAACACCATACTTTTTTATTTTCTGCAGTTTCTGTTGACATATGGCAGGTGCACAAACTTGTGATAAAGGATCCACACTAGCACTGTGATGTCTGATAGATGCTTGTAATTTTTTGCAGGGTGTAAAGTATCTTAGCTATGCAAATTTTCTTTACCTTTTGATTTTGTGGTGATAAATAGTTGGGGCAAGTTCATGAAATTTGGTGTGCAAATGTGTCATAAACACACCTACACATTATTATGAAATGTTTGTAAGACAAGCTGGGTGAGGGTGCAAAACTTTGAGGTTTATGTCCAACAAATTTACTGTAGATGGAATCTGTATTTGAGTAATGGTTTTCAAGGAAAGTGTTGTTATGATAATTTAGAAATGGGAGTCTGGTAAGGCTTTGTCAGTTCTACTTGAACTCGTTTATCGTATGGGAAGGTTTGGGGGAATATTAAAGAACACTTACACTGTTTGACAATATGAGGATGGATAATCAAGATCCGATTTCAGTACAAAACTGTGCAGGTAGGATATTTGTTGCAATGAATTTGCATTCATTCGTATTTGTTTGAGGTGTCCTGAGGAACAAACCACATCTAAGTGAACTTCCCTAATTCACAGCTGGTATGTTAATTTTGGTATTGTTACAGATTAGTGTACGTGTACATGAAATTGAGATGCACTTCATGATCAGCAGTGAGCATTGTGCCACGTTTCAAACATTGACACTAATTTTTGCCTTGAGCAAGTCATGAATTCACCTGACAGTGCTTTTGTCAGTGCACCTATGTGTTAGTTTATGGTTTTATTGAGGAGTAATGACTTACAGATGTTATGCTGTGTAGTCAGTCAGCAATGAGAATTGTCTTGTTTTAAGTTGTGCCACCAGTTTGTGTTGAATAAGGCCTGGGCAAGTTGTGAAGTAGCCTGATCATTGTTTTTGTTGGTACATTTAAATTCTAATATAGGATTTTATTGAAGAGTACTGTCTTCTTGGTTCTTACATTATGTAGTCAGATATCCCACAGTTACTTTTACCGTACTGTGCAGCTTCATATCCTATAAGACAGTCCTCTTCATAGACTGCTGTGAGAACCCCAAATGTTATATGATGTTATTCTTTTCCTTTTCAGTCTGCCATAAAAGGTCTTCAGATGGGAGGTATGGACATAATATCTGTGACAGATAGTACACCAGTATCTTGGAATCCTCCACGACCCCGAAAACGGAGGAAATTGTGAGCACAGAACCAGTGAATTGGCATTACACAGTTCATCATTCTCATCAAGTCTGGATTGTATCTGAACAGTAGCTGTTTTAGGGTCATGTAAGGCATGTATAATACACTATCCACTCACTGTATGGAAGACATGCCAGATCTGTATAAATGTTGTACTTTACCTAATCATATTAAGGATTCTTATTTTTCTCGGTATGTTTTATATGATAAAGGTGAAACTATCTGGTGCTTTGATCTGGCACTGTAGCAAATTTGTCTGATGTCTCATATACAGATTAAATTGGCATCATACCCATTATTTATTTATATATACATACATATACACACATGGTCATATGTAAAAGTAAAGGTATCCCTGTAACAGGCCATGGAGGCCCATAGGGCTGTGAGATGTTAGGGGTCTCACATTTTCTAGACACTCGGCTCATAGGTGGCAGTAAGGTTGTGAGCCTTTCGTGCCAGCAGCCCTTAACCTCCAGGAATATTCCTGGTACTCATTTCTATTAGAAACTGAGCCATAGCGCGGCTGGAAGGATTAGGTAAATTGGAGAAAAAAAATCCAATGACCTAATCGGGATTCGATGCCGCGACCTTCTGGCTTGCAGCATAGTGCCTCAGCCAACTATGTTACCACGTGCCCTCCATGGTCATGTGTGTGGTATGTAATTTTGGGGTTTGAATTGTGGGCACATACTTCAGTAGCTCCACCCATAAGGCCAGGAGGGGAGGGTGTTTATTATATGGTATGTTGACAGGCCCGTGGAATTGGTACTCTGACTAAAAGATTTTTCTTGGATGCCAAGCTTATATCTTAACTGCGTAATTTAAGTTCAGTTGGCCTGTCAGCCGGAGTCATAGCCTTTTACATCTCATCAGATCATCAGTTGAGTTATTATGCATTCTGTGTTTCTGTAAGCCTTGGCGAGTTCTGGACTAATTTGTAACTGTGTTACTGATTCCCTCCCTCTGCTACAGATTTATGGAATGGGTGTTTGCTTTTGTTAGTTTTGATAAATACAAATTAATTTATGTTCCATATTGAAGAAGTACGCATTCCAGTTGTGAGGGCTCTCTGTTCTGTATAGTATTTAGTTTTAAGTTAGAATTTCATTTTGTGATGGGACTTGTTGGATATGATTAAGCTTCATAATACTTACAGTGTACATTTTATCAATTATCCACCTAAGTCCCTTTATAATAGTCTGCCACATATACCCAGGAGTTAAGCTAGTATTCGAAAACCTTTTACAGCTGTGCATATTACAGAATGTGTATACTATAGTGAACACCATTGCCAGCTGCATCACCAATACATCTGTTGCACTCTTTTTTACACACTTGTCAGTTTTTCTTTTCTATGCAATAATTAACATTTTCAGGTATATAAATGAAAAAATAGCTATTAATCATACCTTTTTCAAAAGCACGTACACAGTAAATGATCAAGAGTCATGAAATGGCAGCTTCAGTTAAACAGTTTTATTTCATGAAAGATTCTGTATAATGTGTGGATAGGCGTGACAGTAAACATGTGACACGTTCTAATGGCGTGCACTGATTTGATTTAAAGAAATATAATTTTGATTTTCTGATCATCCCAGGAATTGAAAGCATGTGTATGGAATTTTCCTTTTAATTCCTCATGGCAGTGATTATATTAAATAAGGGACTGAATCAACTCAGTGTAAAGTTTGTTTTATTAAAGAATTGGAATTGGACTAGAATTCTTGAGCATAGTCTGTTGTGCTTAGTTACATTGAAACTTTTAATGCCATCGTAATCTTTGGGAGCATATTTGCATATAATTTTTAAAAATTTTGGTCGTTTCCTTGAAATGTAAATATTAAACTTCTTTAAAAAATGGATAACAATTGGATGATCAGTCAGATGTGAAGACATGCATATGCATTTTGTCAGTGACTCTCTAAATGTTCACTAGATCTCTCTTGGTCCTAGGCATGTTCTTATCCACCATCTGTGAACAGTGTACTTGGTATCATGCATTAGACTGTCCACTGCTGTTTTAGGCATATTTTTGCCACAGTATTAGTACAGCTTATTTTTGTACACTTGAGCATTTTTTAACTGATCAGCGTAGGCAGCATGACAAAATATATTATTTTTAGAACAGATCATTTTGCACAGAAACTCGTACAGAATATTTCTTTAGAGCTATATCATAATTGTATGCAGTATTGTCTGTGAGCAGAATCTAATTTATAAAACAGTCTGTGTTGATTAAGGCATAGAAAAGAAGCTGAAAATGGTGGATATTAATCTTTTTATTTCTGAATTTAAACAGAAAAAGTGCATTTCATGTGAGTTTTCCTGCATTCTGTAGGTAGGCTGTAGAAACTTTTTAGCTCTGCTGGTGTCACTTTTGTTAACATTTAGTGCCACTGTTTAAGTTCCTCATTACTCATGGACTATGAAATTGATTATAAATATTAAAAAATTAGAGAATAATGCTTAAAAAGCGCCTTCTTGATAGTAGTTGTTGCTGGCGGTCATGGCGTTCTTCTTTCAGTAATTTCCAGGGATAAAGGCGACTGTTACATCAAAATTACCCCGTGGATTTTTAGTTGGTTTAATACACTCTTCCAGCAACTTCCAAAGGGAAATAACTGAGCATGAGCGTATTTTCGGTTGAACACGGTATTCAAGTCTGGCACGTAATCCGCGCTAAGCATTCTGGGTACAGTTGGTGAGGAAGAAGGCAATATGGCTGACGTTGTAGTGAGGTAACTACCGAAGACGCTAAAGGTGTATGAATTTATGTGGATTTATTTTTGGTGATGTGACTGTTTGAACTGTGAAATGAAATTTCACTGTTTCGAATGTAATTTAAATATTTATATCAGTTATAAACGTGAGATAAAATTGTAATGTTCACGAAAGCCAACACGAGCTATGGAAACTGCAAAATGGCAGATCACTTACCGTGACGAATATAAGAGGCCAATGCAACAGTGACTTGAATATGGATTCATACAAAGGACAGCAGTTTCTTTCATTGTGAAATGTGGTAAATGCCCGGGAATATTATTTCAGATAAAACTTTTGCAATTTTACAAGAAATCTGCCGAGTGAAGACGTAGATGCTTTTGACCTTTTAGCTAGGAAGATGCCCCAGGTAAGAGTTAATTGTGTTTTAAAATTAATTGTAGGATTTCTGTTAATAGTCTTGTTACATTTGCCATTTTTCACGGGCAAAAACTTACGAGTTGCGGTGACCTTCGTGGTCTTCAGGAAATTTAAAACTAACTTACTGATTGTGGAATTAAGTTTCATTCTCACTTTCAGATATCAAATCTGAAAATTATTTATTTTACGTAATTTTTAAGGTTCCTGTGTGTTACCGTGTGTTTTCTTTTGTTATATGGCATGGAGTTCTGCCCATAACTTCTTGAATTTGCAAGTGTTTAGGGCTGTATATAAGTTTGACACACAGCCATGCTGCTTTGTTTACAATTGAAAATTGTAAAAAATACCCGTCTAATAATGAGTGTTCCACGGAAATATTAATGGATTTATGTTCTTGAGTTGGGACAGTATATGTAGAACCTGAAACTTCAGATTTCTATGACAGACCCATTTTTGCAAATTAAGCTCAAAGTTGGACTTCTTAAGCATGCCATTATAGCCAGATGTATGTATATGTATTTTCTTTTGGTGATTCAGCCCATCAGACTGTGTTTTCATAAATATTTCTGTTTGTGCACAGTTTCCACAAAAGGTAATCATATGTTTTATGCAGACTTGTTGGTGTTTAAGACATATTTTGAATGATTTCAGCCAATGGGTATATGTAGTTTGCTATTTGAAATTACATGTGCAGTAGCAGAGTGAAGCAAGTTTCTGGTGTTTTGCATCTCAGTTTGTTAATATACGAAAGAAAAGCAAACACTTAATTTCAGACTATAATTACTTGTGGTTTATAGAGAAGACTCTCTTTTAAGTCCTCAGATTTGTATGGCAACGACATGAAATTTCTAATGCATGTTGGAGTCCATTAATATGTATGTAAGAGTGTTAACAGTAACAGCGCAGTAATACAGTTCTGTAAGGTACTGAGGTGTCTTTGTGATTTTTGCCATTTCTGTGTCTGATTTGTGTAATAAAGTATGTTTTGTGTTGTACATTGGTTATTTTTATAGCACCAAATTAATGTCTAATTATAGTTTTGTTACCTTCACTGCCTTGACCTGAAGAGAATGTCACCTGCAAACTACCATGTCCTTTGTGAAAGTACTTTTATGTCAAAGTAAACTACAAAGTTGTTACCATTATTTCTTATAAAACCAAACCATTATTAGCCTGTTTGTAACACTACCATATGAATCTTATATGCAAAATAAATGTATTCAGTAAAAGTGCTCCACTTTGTATTACAATAGTTGCTGAAAATTGTTTTTCAGCGTGCTGTAAAAAACCCTGTGTCACGTTGAAGGTCACCGTTGATGTCCAGAATAACATCCTGGAAAGCATGGATAATTTTGTCTAGACTTTGATTCATTTTCGTTGCAGATAAATGTCGTGCATAGAGATATGTACATGTTGGCCGTGATCATTTGCTGATTATTCATTTTTTCTGAACTGCTTATGAGAGAAAATTTTATGTGGTGTTTCTAAACAAGCTGAAAATACTCAATACTAATTGTTTAGTACTGTCATTTGTCAACAAAAGTGAACTGTGCAGCTCGTTATCTTAGGTGTCTGTTTTTGTTTAAACATGAATCATGTCATTACATTGTTTCCAAACATCTGTAACTTCCATTGTGTGAAATATGCTTGGATTTTGGATGACATGATTTTCAACAGCTAATGTAATACCAGGTAAGTGGTGTGTGATGCATAAGCAAGGCCTCCAGTTAGATTAGCATGTAGCTTGTAAAGAATCATGTCAGAAATATGCTGTCTACTTGCCAGTGTTAGTGATAGACCACAAGTGAAGGGAAGAACCCCTTTTGAATGTGTGTGCGCCCGCGCGTGCAGAGGGTGATACACAAGTCTTAAAGCCAGTGTTTGGGAGGTACCTACTTTTTTTTTTTTTTTTTCCAACTTTGAGAAAATGTGTTTTCCTGTCGTGTAAAATTAAAGGTATCCCTGTTACAGGCCGTGGAGGCCCATAGGGTTGTGAGATGTTTAGGTTCCCACATTTTCTAGACAGTCTGCTCATAGATGGCGGTAAGGTTGTCAGCCTCACTTGCCGGCCACCACTTACCCTCAAAAATATTCCTGGTACTCATTCCTGTTAGAGGGTGAGTTGACCCCAGGGTCATAGTGCGGCTGGAAGGATTGGGTCAATTGAAATCCAATGACCTCATTGGGATTCGATCCCGTGACCTTCTGGCTTGTAGC